TTCTGGATTTCAAGAAAGTGAAGGCTAAGGTGATTGAACATGCTACAATATTACTGTCTTTTTTAAACGGTTTTAATCTGTTTTATTCTGCATTTTCTGTTGCCTATCATGTTTTGATATGTGAAATTGCTGTGGTCAATTGTTAAATTTTTGGTTACATTGTTTTATTATAATATGCATATTTGTGCGGCAGCAAGTGTAGGTTCATGAAGTGCTGTTTGTTTTGACTGACTGGGAGTTATGTTATCAGTGGAACACGGTTAGATTTTAGAATGTTATTTTCGTTAACAGTATTAGATATTAGAATGGTTCTTCTCCATCATAGGTGCACTCATGAATCATGACTGGGAAAATATATCATAAATTCAGCTTTTTGTTCAAAATAAAAATAATATTTTTTAGCCTAATGTCCGTTTTATTTAAACCTAATGATTTGGTATTGCCATCTTTAGCTTAAGCCACAAAGAAACTCTTTGCTGTAGGATTGAATTATCAACTTGATGTTGCTTAAGAAATTTTTCTGCATCTTTGGGTGGGTGGTGAAGAAAGGGGGTGGGACTAAATGTTCTAATTTTCCAGTTTTATATTCCTCATGTAACATACCATATGGAGTAATTTCTCTTATGCATGCTTCATGGGTCACAGGAGAGACTAGAAGCTGAAAATCTTTTTGCATCTAAAGAAGTTGAAGAGGAAATAAAGAAAGAATCTGCAAGACAGTTGCACCAAAAAAGGTTCCAAAAGTTTCGGAAGTTGCAGAGGAAGAACCGACGCCAAAAGTGGTTGCAGCCACACCTGAGCAAATTATAGCTATCAAGGTATTGCCTTTTTATTTGTAATGCTACTTTAAAACTTGGATAATAATGTTGATAGTTTTAGTTTCAATTGATTATTTTTCTTGATGAATCTTAGAAAGATTGGAAGCTTTATCTGGGACTGGGATGAAATAAAATAAATGATAGCAATTAAGGGTAAAATTGGAGAACATGCCTGACTACCTCAGTTTCTCGCCAAGAGCATGCTTGCGGCACCGTTTACATTATGTAAGAAACTTCAAAGAGCATATTACTTAACTTTGATTAACAAGAATCTTGACCAACTTTATTATACGTTATGATGCTCATTTAGACTTTTTGTTGACTTTTCATTTTTCTTGAAGTATTTTTGTTTGAAGTCAGAGGCATGTATTCAACACTTATACCTTAGTACGAGTTTAGTTCATATCCATTTCCATGTACCGCATTCTTGGGTTGCAATTTATGTGTCCATTGCCTTTCATGAACCTAAACGATATATGTTTCATGTATCTTCTTGGTGCCAAAATTTGTTGACTAATAATGACATTTAGGAAAAGCCTCCTCTTAGTTTCTTCTGTAATAGACTCTACGATGGGTTCCAATCTTGATGATATGAGATATAAAACGTGAATTATTATTACTAGCAGCTACTTAAACAATTTTAGAGCTAGAGGTTGATGTAGTTCAGGATTAGGATGCCAAAATATTGGGTATCTGGAATTTTTCAAATATATCCAAATATGGTGAGTATGAACATTATTTAAAATAAATAAAAACAGAAAAATAAACAAGAATTTAATATTTAAATGGATATTGGATTTGGATGTCCTAATCCATTTCTCGTATCAATAAAGCAGATTCAGATATTTAATATTGTCCCAACCAAAATCAAACCATATTTAGATAATGGATATTGAAGGATTAATATCCAAATCCTTGCCTAATGGTAAATTTATTATCTGAATCTGCCATATCTGAATAAAGAAAAACAGTTCCGCTAGTCTTGGATTTTTTTACCATCCATTGCCTTCCTGAGTGGTGATTATGAAAGGAAGTCTTATTCGGCTTGGAGTTGGTGATGACAATAAAGGTTATAAAACTATTAAGGATAAACTAAACAGATGATCCCTCAATTATAGGATACTTTTTAGGTGGGTCGTCCAAGTATAAAATGTTACAAATTGGTCACTTGAGTTATTGGAAGTTACAAAATGGTTACTGATCGTTAATTTTTAGATAGAAAGCTGATGTGACAGTTAATACTGTCGGCATGATAGCAAATTTACTCCTTAACCTTAACACTTGTTATAATTTGATCCTAGTTCTAAAAATTTATCCTGCAACGTGTAAATATTATCCAATTTAATCCTTGCTATAACCCTTTTTGTTTTTCTTCTCCTCTCCACTATCTTCCTCCACCATTCAACCTTCACACATTTGTTTACCGCCACTATTGCTCCTGTGCTTTGCTCCACGACCCATCTACTCTTCCCTCACCTCATCATCTAACTAATTAATAGATACACCCTCGTGTGAGCTTAAATATTTTACATATACTTTAAGAAATAAGAATGTGGCTAGTGGCACCCACCCTGTCTCTCAAACCCATCTAACCAGCAACATCAATAGGAAGGAAACATACATGTCCTGTAAGAATGCATCTACATGATGGTACTTTTGGAATTGTTGAGCAACCCTCTGACATTAGTTAATTTTGGCACTCAGGTTTAAATGCAAAAGCAGTATTTATCAATTTGCAAAATCATTTTCCTTTTGCACTACTTTTTAACTTGTCTAAAGCTTGCATTGTTGTTTTCTTTGTGGCTTCAACTGCATAAATGGTCATATTTGTTAATGACTTGTGCATCTCTTGTAGTGCATCCTTACGACTAAAAGTCTGATCTTGTTTAGATTTATTTGACATGCAGGCTGCCATTGTGAATTCTCAGACGTTGGAAGAGGTTGCAAGACTTGAAAAGGTGGTTGCTTAATAATTAGTGGATTTTAAAGACAACTGTTATTTAGATTTTTTCTTCTTAATTTTAACTTTTACATGCTGAATTGAGCAGGCACCAAGGACAGGTCAGCTTCCTGCAGATTTGAACATTCCCGGTTTCGATACCGATGTTGCTTAAGGGGGAGATGAAAAAGGGGATTCTGATAATCAAAATGAGTCCAATGTTGAACCGGATAATATGGATGAAAAGAACGAAGAAGCTGCAGCCATGGAACAGGTATGTTGATATGTTTTTTTGAGGATTCTGAACCGTCTTTGTTCTCGTATTAGATTTTTATATAGATAATTTAAATTGTTTTATATTAACTAGTTTATTTTCTGGTCATTGTTCAATTTTTGGCTAATCTGGTAAGTGGTCATATTGTTTGTTTCAGGAATAGGGGGTTGTAGATTGGTGGATTCAATAGCAGCCAATCAGTAGCTGAACTATTGGTCTGCAGCAAAGGATATGGGTTATGGATTTTCTGTAGTATAAGGATTTTGGTAAGCACTGAGCTACATTTTATTTGGATATTGAGTTTGGATTAGCTCTTTTCCTGTGCTAATGAATGGTATTAATATCTAACAATTTTACAAAGAAAGAGAAGAAGTGAATGATCTCTGATGAATTTGGTCATATCCTCAAATAAATAAGGTTTAAAATTTAATTTGATATATGTTGCTAAAAGAGTGCCCAAATATGTCTGAAAAAATAATGCATCGATATCAGATGATACGATACGATGCCTTTTGTAGCTAAGGAATGGCAAGATAAGTAAAAAGATTAATGCAAAGAAAAGGAGGTCAACACTTGAATCCTGGTGGAGGGAAAGGAGCTTGACGGTCTCTAATTCGTGCCAAGTGTAGCGTTAGACCTTTTTAGCACCATTTCTCGTCACATTTTATGAGCCGATTAAGGATTAATCAAACCAAGATTATCTACTATGACTATATATCACCCATTCAAGCATCAAATTAACGAGTGATTAGCAATTGTTTTTTAATATTTGAATAATTAAATAATATTTAATATTATTTTAAAAATATATTATCTAACTCATAATGTAAATTGAGAAAATATAAACTTGATTTTAGTTTGAGCTTTATTTTCTATACGAGAGTGTAGCTTAGAAATTTATGACAATAAACTGTCACAAGTTACTTAAATTCACGCGGATGTAGTTGGCTAACGAATGTGTTAAGACTGAAAATTTTATGATTAACTTACTTGTAGGTTCTTTAGGATTTGAAAAGCTTGATTATCATCTGAGGGTGAGTTCTCAACTCTAAAATGATTTTTCTGGAATAACTTAATTATTGATTTTTAATCATTAAAAATCAACTTAAAATGGAGTATTATATACTATGGTAAAGGCAAATATATGAAATTTAGTTATGTAATTTTTTAAAAGCATTGTTTAATATACTAATTATATTAATAATATAATAAATATATTTTTTTATTAGATAATGTAACATAATTTTTTTATAAACTTTCATACAACATTTAAATATTAGTAGTTTAAAATACTCAAAAGAAAATATATCATAACGACTATTTAATAAAATTCACTTCTAGATAATTTTATATTATCCAACCGAATAAAATAATATATTATTTATAATAATGTGTCAAGTAATATTACATTTATTATAGAATATAATCTTATATTATGTGAATTAAATATATATTAAAAAATAATCGGGAATAACACTTTATTAAATGTGGTTTTAATTGAAATTCAACTTTAGTAGCTAGTTAATACATCTTAAAAAAAAGGTCAAAAATTGAGAAGGAGATGTCACCATCACCATGAGTAATGTAATGTGGTGAAAAATTTTAAGAGAGAGAAAAGGGGGGGGGGCTTGAAATTATAGCTGACCCCATACCATTTACTACCCTTTTGCCTTAGTTAATTGTGAGGACCTAAAAAACTCCTTCAAAATCTCCATTTCGGCCATCCACATATTAGACAATGGTTTGGGTTTATCCTATGAGTCAAGTAAAGCAAACCCTACATAGTGAGGTAATAAAGGATCAAACTATAAAATTTTATAAAGAACAAAATAATAAAAATTTTAAACATAAAAATATATTATTAATAAAAAATATAAAAAAATATATACAAATTTAAAATTTTTAGGATACTATTGTTTTACCCACCTTTCGGGTCCATCCTCGAAAGTAATGGTAGTAAACTAAACTTGGGTTTTAAATTCCTCAGTGCAATGTTACTTTAGCATATACTCTGACTACCCTCGCCATTAATCTTGCCATACCTTCATTCTCTGCCCATCTCTTCATTTACAAGAACACATTTTCTTCCTCCTAATTTCACCAATATTTGTATACCCAATGGGGAGATCACCATGCTGTGACAAAGTGGGGTTGAAGAAAGGACCATGGACACCAGAAGAAGATCAGAAGCTCTTAGCTTACATTGAAGAACATGGCCATGGAAGCTGGCGTGCCTTGCCTTCCAAAGCTGGTCACTAAACTAAACCCTAGCTACTTGTTCTACTTTTCTTGCTTACTTCGTTCTCAAGTTTTGCTTCTTTGTTTTAGGTCTTCAACGATGTGGGAAGAGCTGCAGGCTTCGATGGACTAATTACCTCAGGCCTGATATCAAGAGAGGAAAGTTTAGTCTCCAAGAAGAACAAACCATCATTCAGCTCCATGCCCTTTTAGGGAACAGGTCCAGGAATCTTCGTGACCCTAAACCCTAAACTTTCCCGTTATTTTCTTGTCAATGCAATCAATGGTTTTGTTTACCTTTTTGATGTTTTCTAGGTTTTGTGTTTCAGGTGGTCTGCTATAGCGACTCATTTGCCGAAGAGAACAGATAACGAGATAAAGAACTACTGGAACACTCATCTTAAGAAGAGGCTAGCCAAAATGGGGATCGATCCCATCACTCACAAGCCCAAATCCGATGCTTTACTCTCCGGTACTGATGCTCATCAATCCAAGAATGCTGCAAACCTTAGCCATATGGCTCAGTGGGAAAGTGCTAGGCTTGAAGCCGAAGCTCGATTGGTTCGTGAATCAAAGCTACGTTCGTTTCAAAATCGCCTCACTCGTCCAACAACAACAGGCTTTCCTTCATCAGCTTCGGCTGCTCAGCTTGTGAATAAGGCAGCTTGGAATGGTGTTAACAATGGTGGATTTTGTGACCTCGAGTCACCTAAATCAACCCTCACTTCCTCGGAAAACGGGATCGGACCGAGTACGATGCCGATGACAGAGTTTGTTGGCACCGCATCGGCTTCGTCCGAGACCGGAATCATCAAACAAGAAGGTGAACAAGAATGGAAAGGAACTAATTTGGCTATGGACAACATTAATCCTCTATCGTTCACTTCAACAAGCATCCATGACGATATCGGAAACACAATGGAAGATGGGTTCATTAACCTTCTTCTCAACGATTCCAGCGACCCCAGTTTATCCGATAGTGGCAAAGAATCCGATGGAAGCGAGGATCACTGTGAAGAAGACAACAACAACAACTATTGGAACAGCATCTTTGATTTGGTGAATTCTTCCTCATCGGTTTCACCAATGTTCTAAACAACTGCAAACACGTTTCAGATGATCAATACTTTTGTCACACAAAGTAACAGCGTTGAGGACCTCGCTTCACTTCATCAAAAAAAAAAGTACAGTGTAGCTACCATTAAAAGTTGATAGGGTTTTAACATGCGTTTGAGTTCAATTCAATGATGCTTTCAGTTGAACTTTTATTGGTATTATTTCAATTCAATGTTGCAGGAAATAATCAAATGGAAACATTATTTTAACCTCAAAATTTATTCCCTTTGTGTTAATTTAGACTTATATATATATAAAAACACTAGACAAAGATCAATAAATAAAGAGATGTGTTTCTGATAGACTTTATTGCTAGTAGTTTCAGGTCACATCATGACATTAAATAGAAGTAATTCCTCAATTTACTTATCAAAACTGGGTTGCAGTTCCAGTTTTACTTTATTTTCTTCTTTACAACTTTATATTATTTTTGTGTGCGTTATAATTGTATTAAGAGTGTTACATTATGAAGCAGGCATTGAGATCATACTGGGAATTTAGTAATGCTGCAAACATTGGGGATTGCAGTAGTGAAAAAGTGGCAGCAGTTGAAGACGATGACGTAGATAAGAAATGGTTAGGGTTTGCAGATCAATCCTAAGGAAAGCAAGTCATTCAACCCTCCATTTATTATTTCTAAACATTTTATTAATTTTTTTTTCTGGAAAAAAATACTATTGATTATTATTGTATATATTAGTAGTGGAGTATTTTTTTAGGTTAATTTTACATCTTATAGTTTAATCATATTATCATTATTTTCTATAAATTACGACTGAAATTTTAAAATATAAAATTAAAATTAATTAAATTAAAATATATATACTAAATCTATAACTTCCACACTACAATAAATGAAATGAATTTGGCCTACAAATAATCTCAAATATTTTGTATGAGGATAATCTAAAGTTATTATAAAATAATATCTATTAAGATTTTTTTTAATTATTAAGATTTTTTTTAATTTATTGGCAATACACATAACCTGTAGACTCAGTTGTGCAATAATATGAACTAACTTAACCACTTACGAAAAATTTCTCTTTTTACACATGGTTATTTTCGTTAATAATATCTCAATTATAATATATTAATATAATATTTTAATAATATTAATATAAATTTAATATAAATTAAAATTATTATATAAATGTATTAGAATTTATATAAAACAAATTATGTGCGTGTCAAAATTTGTATACAATCTTAAATATGATTATGATACAAATAATTGAATTATCACAATCAATCCAACATCAGTTCACTGTAATTGACATGAGCTTGTATACATCTAAAACACTAATCTTTGTCATCGAAGTTTTGCTAACAAAACACTTAGATTTTTCAATACCAAAATGGGTTTATCCTTATCTTTTTCATTGTCGTTTTTGTTTGAAAGCTACTTGGTTTTCTCAAAACAAATCATGCTCTAGATTATATTGTTTTCAAAGCTTTCCATATCAAATGGCATTCAGCAATTATTGTAATTCAACCAAACATTATACTTTTAAATTATTAATTACCCCAAAAAGAAAATTGATGTTCCATAAGCTCATTATGTTCATCCAATATCTTCACCACCCAGCACAAAAAAAACAAGCTGAGACTGCAGTCCGTTAAGTTCATGTACATGTGCAAAAGCAAAATAAACTCTTTCGAAATCGAGATGGATTGAAGGGGTGTTCCGGAAATTTCAAATCATCGTAAATTTTAAATATATTTTTATATATTTTTATTGGTGTTTTAATTTCGTATCTCCTAATTTTTTAATATAATTTCTTAAATTTATATTACATGACATACAATTTTGTATCCGTATTTGTTTTCAAATTCAATAGTGTCATCTAAATTTGCTCAATGTTTCATGAGTTTTGGTATTTGATGATACATCATTTGTTATAATCTCATAGCATAAAATTATTTTTGAATATCAAAAACAGCTAATAAGCTGGCTGCAGCAGAAGAACACGAGCTTATAATATGAACAAATATGTATATTATATGGTCCCCGCAGACCTCAATTAATTGATATATTTGCATCGTGAGTGAATCACTGATCCACCACATGTATTATCATTGTCACTGCATTTCCATGGCAATTGATCCCATCAAAATGTTACAACTTCAAATATCTAATTTTTAGAATGATCAATCAATCGATTTAAAGTAAGATTATTGTTATATTATTTTTTTCATATTTTATTCATATTAAATAAAAATTCGCATCCATTTTTTTAAATAAAATATATTATAATATACGAACAAGTTTCTACCATGTTGTACTCTCCTAGTAACACAATTACATCGGTAGTTATAATGTGTGACTGGAAAAGTTAAAATTAATTTACACGAATTTTAACTTAAATTGTTATGGTATTTACTTTGAAAAGTTATACAATTAGTAATAATTCTGATTATAACTTAGATTATGTTAACCTAAAATGTTATCATGACTACTCTAGAAAGGTACACGATTAATAATAATTTCAGTTATAATGTTATATGTGTTTTCTGATGGTAATTTTTTAGATTGTGATTATAATAGTTATACAACTTACATTATTTGTGATTAATAATTCAATTATCATTATTAAAAATATAATATTTTAACTTTAGCTTAAAATATTACCCAATTTACTTTAAAAATTAAATACTTAATAAAATTTTCAATTGCCATCAATTATTATTATTTTCTTAATTTTATAGTAACTACTTGTATTTTAAATTCTTTTACAGAAATAGTTGCAGCTATATATATATATATATATATATATATATATGATTTTGATAGTTAGGGCACATGGAACATAGCAGTATATGCCATCTCTCTCGTGAAAAACCATCGAAAAACCTAATAATATTTATAATATAGAAGAAATAATTGAATTAACCGTTATTTTCCCATTAAATGAAGGCATGATGGATCCAGGCTGTGATGAAAAGTCTTGGAAATAATATCTACTGAAACTGTGGCCACACCTTCGATTGTCAAAAGCAGCCCCTCCTTTTTTCTCAATGCTAAAATATTAAAATAGTTTTAAATTTATCATTTTTATATATTTCACAATATAAAATTAAAGTTGAAACATAATGTTAAAATTAATTTGATATAAAAATCAAATATCTTACAAATTTGAAAAAAAAGAGAGAAGACTAAATGGTTTATTTGAGCTTAATATTTTTACTATATTTATAGTGTAATTTTTCTTTGTTGCCCTTCAGGTTTCAAGACTTTGTCTTGACTAATTCGAATCTATCAGCTTCGTAAACTTAACTTTAGTAGGTGAGTCTCCTAGTAGAAATTTTCTTGAACTTAGACATTGCTCAAACTGCTTACCACTTGAACTAACCCTATTATTGTGTAATTTTATTTTAATTTTAAAAAATATGTTTCCCCTTTGTTTTCCTCTTGTCACAATTTTATTTATTTATCTCGAAAATTGCTGCACATGTACATTTAATTCAGTATATAATGTCGCCCACATGGGTCTTAAAATCATGAATAAAAAAAGGAGCTGGACAAATTGGAAATTGATGGCGTATAACATACGTAAGATTAGAATGCAGGTTAAACTTGTCAGGTTAAATTAGAAAATTCGATATAAAACTGATTTTAAGATTTTTTTTAATAAAAATGATAATAAGAGTGTATGAATCAACTTACTTTAGTAGTTAAAGGAATCATTATTATTTCTAGAGGTCACAGGTTCGTGCACCAACAATTGCAACAGGGTGATTGAGAGTTAATTGTCAAATGATTAAGAATATTTAAAACAAATACTATTTTGTAATCACCTCACTTTAATAAAAAAATTAATAATAAGAGTATTAGTTACTTTTATTTATTTAAATTAAAATTTTAATTATTAGGGTAACTGTATATGTAACACCCTAAACTAGTACGACACACAACTGACCAGTCAGAATGCCACACAGAACCACCAGAGTGGCTAACCAAAATTTTCTTTTAAATTTTTCTGTTTTTAAAAATGACTATTTGTAACTATTCATGCTAAAAATAAATCAACTACAATTTAAATAAAATAGTTTCATTAGGAGCTCACAAAATAAAATTTAAATCATACAGACCATAGTTTAAAATGAGTTACGACTCATACAAAAATATACAAATCGGAGTTTACAATTATACATGCCCTTTAAAGATGAACTCGCGATGTACTCTGCACTATATGGGTCTGGATCACTGCTGTTAAAAAGTCCTCGGATTGCTCCTCGACTAACATTAGTAAGGAAACAAATTCCAAACGTTGAGCTAACTAGCCCATTGCCACACTAACAACTAAGTCATCCTAAAAGTGTTCATGAAATGCTCAACCTAACTGATAAATTGAAATAGTGAGTATACTTGTATACTGCACTCTTTACTCTATGGTAGACATCATGGTGCGGCTGAGGGTTCTACATCTCGGAGCTCACACACCCCTTTAGTTTACCGAGGCTGGTTGCCCGAAATCTATACATCGGTCAACCCCCTCGACTAGCCCACTCCTTGAGTGTTGGACCTTACGCCCAAGCTAGTTAACTTTAAGTGCCTCACGCACTACCTAAGGATATATCCAAATTGAAACTATACTTTCGATAATGTTAACATTTTCTAAAGGAACTCAAGTGTCCTGATCATTTCCCGAGCATCAACCAAGGCTATTTTTATGTCATCCTAATTGAATCTTATTTCTAAGTGTAATTAATATCATTAATATTCTCACTTGTAGTCTTATTTGATGATATAATGAAGTGTTGGATACCTTGAGTCTAATTCCCTTAAAAGCTGACATTTTTGCCCAAAACAGACTGAAAGTATCGATACTAGCCCAAGAGTACCGATACTCATGCAATAGTTTCAATACTTTATATAAGTATCAATACTTTTAAACATTCTGTTATGCCCAGTTTTGAAACTTTATAGGAGTTTCGAAACTATGACCCAAAGTTTCGATAGTCTTGAAAAAGTATCGATACTCTTGCCCAGAAACTCACGAATTTGCCCAAAACGAAGAAAACAATATCGATATTATCCCTATAATATCGATACTCTACCTGCAGAAGTCATAAAACACATACTAAAATGCTATATTCTCAATCCCAAAGACCCTAGTGAGGTTCCCCAAACATGCTTAAAGTT